ACACACACACACACACATATAGAGAGGGAGAGTTTATAAATAATTATTATTAAAAAAAATGCAAAATAGACTTCATTGTCAATAAATAAATATACTTTCTGACATTCATCACTCTTTTTTTTTTTTGCTACATACTAAAGCTGAGAACAATGTTCAGTTAACAACAGACACCTTGTTATATGCATTTCCTTCAGGTGTTTAATGACTTCGTTTTTTGTTCAGCAATAAACACACTGTCGCACACATTTACAGTCAGTCCTCCAGAACGGCTCAGGCGTGCAGTTCATTCAGATTCATATATCATTGAACTTGAGGGTCTCCATCTGACATTCCCTTTCCTGAGCGCTCCTAAGCATATCCCCCAGCATCCCTCTTTCTCTCTCTCAGAGCTCAGCAGTGGGGACTGAGATTAGCCTAACCAGATTAGAGTGCTCTAATGCATTATTCCTCAATCCTTCCCTCCACTGCAAATCCACTCATGTGAAAATAATACACAGCCCTGTGTCAATCACTCTGGCCTGACCCCACTGGGGCCAAAGCAGCCTCAGCACCACTCTACAGTCATTACTAACTATAACAAATGTGACCTCTGGAATCCACCACTGTAAACAGGGACGCATTCGAAAAATCTTCGAGGAATGCCAGTGTTGTGTACTGTCAGTTGGGGTAATGAAATTGGCCGTATATTTAATGCCAAAGGATGTTGAAATTCTGCCATGCAGCACAGAGATCTACTGACATGAGGTTGCCATGGAAATTAAGTGATGCCATATTTTGACATGATAATGTCCTGCACTGACTGTCTGACTTGGTGGGGTTCAGCGAGGGGGATAATCTATTCCTTCCCTTTGAGATGCTGGCCCGGGGGGCGGGGGAGAGGAGCGCCAGGAGAGCTCTTCTGTCTTCAATCATATCAGAGGAAAGCTCCTCCATTAGAGGCACAAAGACATCTGAAGTCCGTGAGAGAGCAGAGGTCTCCTCTTATTTCCTTTGTAATGTATTCTGGGAAAGCGTCTGGATTTATTCCTCCTGCAGAAGTCAGGAACCTGCGCAGGTCTGCTAGAGTCACTGCGTGAACATCGATATTGACACATTTGGACACATAACCTGGCTGTTTGTTATACTTCAGCACGCGTGCATACACACACACACACACACACACACACACACCTGTATGGACCCCACAACCGACTGCTGTGTAAAGGCATTAATTATAGATAAGAGGCAGATGAAAGATTGATGACTGGTTGATAAAGTGTGTGCCGTTCCCGTCGGCTCTGTAAAGACATCAGGAAGGAGTCTTGACTGCTTGACAAGATGGTCCAGAGGGAGCAACAGCCATAGGTGATGACATTTAGCATATACACCTTCTGCTTTCCTGTCTGCAGGAATCAACCTAAACAGCTGATGAATATAAAGGCTTCATAGTTCTTAAAATACATGATAATAACGCTTTTATGTTATTATTATTATTTTTCAGTAGATTCAGTTGTTTCACAAAAAAGTCAACGTGAAGTCAAAATCGAACCTATTTACTTTTGCAACCCTAGAATGCATGAAACAACTCTTGGTAAAAACAAATATATTGTTTTAAAGGGAGAGTACAGCCAAAATGGAAAATGCTGTCACCATTTACAACACATTTACATCACTGTACCAAACCTGCATTACCTTCTTTCTTGTGTGGAACAAAAAAAAAAAAAATATATATATATTTTGAATATCTTTTTTTTTCCCAATACAGTGGAAGTCATTGGTATCCAAAACTGTCTGATTGACAAATTCTTCAAAATATCTTCTTTTATATATTACAGGTTTGTAACTACACAAAGGAGTAAATGATGACTGTACCTGTACTTAAACCAAACGTTAAATATTATCAAGGAGTTAAATATTAGACAAAACAAATAATGTTAATTCTTTACTTCTTTTGATATTACACTTTATAACATGAAATGTAAGTAACTGAATGAAAAATAATTAAATACCTTTTCTGAAGCATAATTAAACCCCACAGACGCAAGTCACCCGTTTACAAAATGTGCTTTGTTTTGAAGAGACAATCACTTAACTTTAACAGTTTTGCTTATCCCAATTTTTTATTTTTATTTTTTGTAAGTGTGAGTGTATGTAACACAAAATATTCATTGTCTTCCATCAGCAACAGAATGAGAGAATGAGATCTATTTTTTCCTTTTTTATGTCTGTTACATTGTGTGTGTGTGTGTGTGTGTGTGTGTGTCTGTGTCTGTGTGTGTGTGTGTGTGTGTGTCTGTGTCTGTGTGTGTGTGTGTGTGTGTGTCTGTGTCTGTGTGTGTGTGTGTGTGTGTGTCTGTGTCTGTGTGTGTGTGTGTGTGTGTGTCTGTGTCTGTGTGTGTGTGTGTGTGTGTGTCTGTGTCTGTGTGTGTGTGTGTGTGTGTGTCTGTGTCTGTGTGTGTGTGTGTGTGTGTGTCTGTGTCTGTGTGTGTGTGTGTGTGTGTGTCTGTGTGATATTTAAATATCAGAATAGGCTTTCACACAAACTAAAACAGGTTTTCACTCTTTTCTGTCATCCTATTACAGGCGGGGAAAAACCTTTCTGAAGTCTTCACACATTCAATTACAAAACCTGTTTACTCTGAACCTCCCAAAGTCCCACATCTCTGCCGTTTTCACACAATTGTTTCCTCTTCATGAGGAGAAGACGTGTCATGAAAATATTATTTACATAATTATTTGTTATTTTTTGAAACCGTTGCCTTATATGGTCATTTTAAAGGTATGCATATACTTAAAGTAAAAACGGCTTTCAGATTATTACCAGCACTTTGTTGTGGTAATGGGGAGCAGTGAGCAGCATTTATTGATTATGCCATAACCCTACACCAGTGAGACTCGGCAGAGAGGATCATGGGAAGGGGAGTTATTTCACGCGGGCACAGGTGAGCAGTTTTCCTGGACAAACATCTGTACAAGGCTCGTTTGTTCGTGACAAAATCAGAACATTCAGAGCTTTATTGCAAACCTGATTAAATGAAAACAGGCTCTAATCCGGCGCCGTCTGCTGTATCGGTTTGTCCACATGTCTCTGTTAGACATTTGTAACCTAATTCTGTTTTGTTTCAACTGCAAGCTTAGCTGCAGGGTGTCTTGGCAAGGTTAAGCTAACATGACGTAGCGCCAGGAATAGCTGCAAGGTGTGATATGTTGAAATCGACTCTACTGACATGAAGCTTCAATTAACTCGGGGCAATAACAAGGCGGACAGTTTTAACTCGCTTCAAACTTTGTTTAACTTTTTACATTCAAATAATTACTTTTAATTGATGTGATTTTTTTGAATAACTAACTTTTAAACATTATTAGGCTACCTAAATGACTAATCATATTCGTCAGATGCCATCCGCAGTGTTTGCATGGCACTGCTTAGTGCTTACTCATTGTACACTCAGGATGTAGCCTATTTAAATGAAGTCCATATTGTAAACAGCTTGAAACTCCTCCATCGATTAGCTGCTGAGGAAAGCTCAGTGTGGTGCGACATCAGACTCCTCCTCTCAAAGAGAAGATCTGATGCTCTTTTATAGACACATCTCATGTGGGGATGACGGCAAATGCTATTCCTCAATTATTTACACCACTTAAATGGCAGCCACTGCAGGGTGTCCATGACATGTGTGTGTGAATGAGAGATTTTTATATTTGTGATTTTTTTTGTATTATTTTGCTGAAATGAAAATGTTGCACACTACAGATAAGTAAAGATCTGTTAGTCACCAGTGTATATTTGCATGCATTGCTGTGGAATCTGATTGTTTGTTTGAGAAAGTTGTATTTTTTATGATTGTAGAAATGGTACACGTAAGCATTTATAACATTAATGTAGATTGTATTTAATTATACCGTGCCTATTTTACGTTTGACAATGCTGGACAGTTTGATGGATCGCTTACAGCCTGACTGTTCTTGTCGCAAGGCTGCCCTCTATCTTTCAACTTTGGGAATACATGGTGTCTTAACTCTAAATGTGGCTTAGAGACGTTTACCCAAATAATTACAAATTAACCCCGAACTTTTACTCGATTTTGAATGCTACAGAAAATTCAGAGTGCTACATTAAATTGGATGGTGGAATTGACAGTTATTTGTTAGACAATTGACTGTGCTGTTTGACGGCTTGCGTGTGTAATAGCATGCAAGCCGTCATTATGGACTGAAATTCCAAAGCTCTAATGTAATTTAAGGTTTTAGACATTGTTGAGTGTAGAGGGTGTTATCTGAATGAGATGTCAACAGAAAATCTTTCAGGATGTTACCACATGGTGGAGGTCTGGTGCTTAATGGTTGAAATAAAGACAGTTTAGAAATGAATAAGCTGAAAATGACTGGATTCTCTGAAACGCAATGAAAAATGTCCATAGCTTATTAGAGTAATATCCCAGTTAACAGGGAGCGTTCTCATTACTTTGGTTAACGTTCTAGCAAGTTTCTCTTAAACAACTGGAAGATCAAACATTCTTCCGGAAACATTAATGGGATTTGTTTAGAATGATCTGGTCTTTAATAATGTTCTCAAAACGTTAGCACAAAAACAAAAGAATATTTTATTTCTGCAATATTTTATTTAGACGTGCACTAGACTACTTTCAGAACGTTCAGAGGACATTCAAAAGTAACGTTCTAATGTTTGCAAAATTGTAAATGTTCCCTTAATGTTCACATAAACAACAACAGCAACAAAAGTTGTTTTTTTTTTTGTACATTTTATGATGTTTTGAGCGTTCTGGGAACATTGAGGAGAAACCATTTTTTATTACTTAATAGGAACATTAGCAAAACTTTCTAGGACACATCCAAAACAAGAATCAGCAGTGAAATGCATTTAATTTGAAACGCTGAGCGTTCCTTATATCATCACGGTTGGCTAAAGAGGAGATAATTCATTAAAAATATCCAGTACATTATATACTATGCATTAATAATGTAATATAACAATTTAAAGCCTGAATTGTGTTATACAGGTAAAGCTGCCAGCGACACTGATTGATTACTCCACATCTAATTTCTCTTGCTGGGAGCAACTACATCTGGAGCTGAGTGCACACACTTCGGAGGCCGTCACCTGTCAGTCATTCCTGTAATTGATGATTCGGCCAATCCTGTGTCTGCTCAACCCCCTGCAAAGGAAACTTGTACTGTATCCACTCAGAACAGCCAGCTGCCAGTCAAAGCCATAGTCACACGCAGTCTTTTCCCCTGCTAGACAAAATCAGTCAATCCCTTTTCTCACAGTTCGTCCATATGGAATCAACCCTGCTGTCAATCAGACCACAGGTCAGTACAGCCCAAAGATCTCAGCAGATGGAACCAGCCAATTCCTGTTTTTTTCTCTCTTTTTCTCTAAGATGACTGAATTTATAAGGTACTGTCTTTTACTACACCTCCAGGCTGTTGAATCCTTTTGAAGAGGGTCGAATCAACTCACAATAGTGATGGTACTGATGTAATGTTACAGAATGAAGGCTGAGGTTGCTAACGCAGCAAGACCGAGGTGTCCCTGAAGATCCTGGACTCTTAATTATGGTGAAATAATCAGTGCGTGCAGTGTAGCCTCGGGCTGCCAGCCCCAGAGGTGAGCTCTACACAGACACACAGAGAACAGAGCGCAGAGAAGATACTGGTACTTCTCTGAAAACACTGTGTAGTTCAGCCAAAGTGGACAGGTTTAGATTCATCTGTGACAAAGGTATTAATGATCTGGTTTTTAAATGTCATTATAAAAAACAATAGATGGGCTATAATGGCCTAACAGATATATCTGATTTAGTCAAAAAAGACTTTTCTTTTTCTTTTGTCAGTGGAAATGTTATGAGTGTAATGGGATTAAGTACACCTGTGTGAACTTGCGTCATACATTCACTAAAAATCACGTTTGCACCAGTAGTTGAAGAAGTTGCCAATGCCATTTGGCTTGATATTTACATGTAATGCAGTGACATTCACTGTTCACTGTCATTGGTCGGACAACCTATAATCCCACCCCAAATTCACACTTTTGGGAAAATCAGTCAAATACAAATGTCTTACTTCTAGTGTTATCTGCAAGTGGGAAGAAAAGCATTTTAAAAGAATAGTTCACCTCAAAATGAAAATACTGTCATCATTTACACACCTCATGTCATTCCAAACCTGTTTGGTTTTCTTTCTTCTGTGGGACAAAAAGACGATGTTTTGAAGAATGTTGGTAACCGTTGGTTTTGGTGACCATTGACTTCCATTGAATGGATTAAAAAAAAGAATGTTTACACTCCTACACATAATGAAAGTGGATGGAGATCAGGGGTTGTCAATCTCATAAAATGACCCATAACCTCTAAAAAAAAAGTATCATAAAGGTTTTTCATATGCTAATTTGAAGTCTTCAGAAGTCATATGGCATATTTGTGTGAGAAACAGGTTGAAAAGTTATTGCTTGACAGTAATTGGTCACCAGTCCCTTCCATTGTATGGAAAAGAGCAGCTTGGACATTTTTCTTTATGGCTGTCTTCTATGGAACACAGAAAAAAAAGGAAAACAACATAAGGGCTAGTGATATGAATGAATGAATCATTCTTTTGAAGCGGTTCTGCATGAACAAGTTACTAAATCAAAACTCACTTTCGGACGTGCCTGACAGTCACTCTGGCTTGAAGTTAGCCAATATTCCAGAGGATACAATCCTATAAGGCAGTTTTTAGTTAACTCATTCTTAGCAGTGTTCTAGTTACGCCAACAGTACACTTAACCGAGAACAGTATCTTTTGGACATGTCCATGTTTTCTGATGTATTTACTGAAAAGCTATACATAAAAGTATAACAAATAAAATGCATTGCAACTAACAGTGATCTGAGTTAACATGAGTACATTGATAACAGTTATAGATTGAGTCAAGAGTCGGTAAATGGTTACAACAATTCTCAATCACTGAACTGAGGAAAGAGTTCAAGGAGAGCCGTTGAGCTGCTGATACAAGCATGCGTAACTTGCATTGACTTTAAAATATGGGGAGAAATGCAACTGGTTTATGTAAAAAATCGGAGTTAATTAAGTCTAGTTCATTCACTCTATATGCTTTAGACATGTAAGACATCCACGTTTCACATTATGGGGTGCTTTAATAATATTGTGTATATGTCACGTCATTGTGTGATACAAACTAGTGAACCGGTTTATTGAAACAAACTATCTAAAAGATCCAGTTTGTGGAATAGAATCAGATTTCCCATCACTAATGAGGGCGACTAAATGACAGAATATATTTTTGGGTGATCCGTCCCTTTAAATGTACAATATTGATATCAAGCCCAATTTAGAGGGCGAAGTCAATGGAAGCCTGTTGTATAAACCTCTTCATTTTAATGAGCATGAGTTCCAGAGGTCTTTCCCGTTCACCAGCGTGAAGATCACACACACACACACACACACACACACACACACAGACACACACATTATCTTCTGCTTATTGTGTTCCAGCCCGTGTCTTGAGATTAGGATTTAGTGATAACAGATCTCACCCTTTGAAAGTATGTGAAAAGCAGCCTAAACATCCAATCTACATGCATTCATCCCCATGACTAATCTGCAGGCCTCTAATACTGTATGTCTGCCCTGGAAACAGAGGTGCACTGAGGACAAACATCTACTGCTGCTCCCAAAGCCCAAATGAAAGCAGATTAGCGGGGGCTTTATCTGAGATGGGGCTCTCCTGTTGCTCTTTTCTGTCCCAGATCCCTTCCGTCACATTCACATAAAGAGGAGATTTCGGGCTTTCGGCTGCGGGTGTCTTTCGACACATTTAAGGAAGTTTCGTTGGTCGAGGCATCCAGAGCTTTTCAGCGCTTGTGCCGAACAATGGCTACGGCCTCCATCCCCCAACTTAACTGAGCCACGGCGGATGGAGAGTCGCCCCTGCTCGTATGAATAGATTTGGTAAAGGCCCCTGCTGGATGGGAGAGGGCAAGGCCTGACAGCCTGGTCCTCGTGTTCCACGATAGCCCAATTGGAGGTGCCAAATGGGGGGCCCACCTCCCCCCGGCCTCCGTCACGCTGAGATAATCAGGTTTGTGTGAGGAGTATGTGCTCTTTTGACAGTCATCATCCCCTCATTGATCCATTACACCCAAGCCTCCATTGTTCCCCAGAGTGTTTGAAATGCCTATTGGAGGAGAGGGGAGGGGCCTGCTTTTCTCAGTCCTGTCAATCAAGACGGACATTTTTCTCACTGTTGCCATAGCCTGGGGTGAGAGGTCAGGAAAACACTGAATAAGAGTTGACGAAGCGATAATAATAGCGTATTTGGGATGTCCTTTTCAACTGGGAATTCTGCGAACACACTAACACACAGTGAGTAAATGAAGACATGTTTGGATACCACAGCCCCGCTGTGAGACTGAGGGGGAGACAGCGGTGTTTGAAAACTAAATAGGCTTAGGAGATTTTTACCCATGAGTCTTAAGCAGAAACCCCCTTTGAATCTGTGACCCTGTGGAGGCTCTTTATTTCTGCTCTCCTGAGCTCTGCTGAGGAGCTGCAAGTGATCGGGCTGAATTGACTCCGGCAGAGAGCTTGTTGTCTTAGCTGTGATTCGACTCAACGACTGCATTGCTTAGTTGAAAAAGGTGAAAGGGATTTTAGTATAAACGGCAGTAAAAATGCTTTGAAATGAGAAAGTAAGTCAGCTACGTTTTGCAAAACTTGTTAAAAAAAAAAAAAAAAAAAAAATCCAAACTCACTGATGTTGTCCACACAAGAATAGACATTTTTCGCTTTCTGTTATGGAGAACACAATATATTGTAGTATTTTGTTTTGTCAGAGTAACAACTTGAAATCAAATTAAATAGCAACATTTATTTATTTAAAAAGTAGTCATTTAATGTAATATTTTTTTATTTATTACATTTTTATTTTACATTTATTTATTTGTAGGCCTGTAATAACATTTTATTGCTGAAATGAATGGTTAAGCATTAATTTATCTATCTATCTGTCTGTCCGTCCGTCCGTCCGTTTATTTATAATAACATTTTATTGCTGAAATGAATGAATAAGCATTAACATACACTTTATTTAGTTATTTATTTGCTTGCTTGCTTGTTTGTTTGCTTGTAGGTCTATAACATTTTTAACATTTTATTGTTTTAATGAATTAATTGCCATTAATATACACTGTATTTATTTAAAGGCCTATAACATATTTAAGTTATATTTTTGGGGGGTTTTATGCCCTTATTGTTGATAGGACAGTGTAGATACAACAGGAAAGCAGAGGGCAGAGAGAGGGGATCGGGATCGGCAAAGGACCACGAGTCGGGACTTGAACTAGACATGTTGCGCTACATTTTATTTCTGATATGATTAAGCGTTAATAGTATGTATGTATGTATGTATGTATTTTATTATTTTATTTTTATTTTTTTTGTAGTTCTATTACATTTTATTGCTGAAATTAATGCTAAAGTACACTTACCACAATAACTAGAATAATTTAGCAGGAAATAAAATGCCAAACTCCAAGGCTGAATGATGCTCTATGGTCCCAACTGGATTGATAAGCCCAACTGTAGCCATTCTTTTACATTTCACCATTGTACAAAGCAAGACAACACAATGCCCCATTGAAGATAATGACTGCGTTGACTTATTTAGAGTACACAGGATCCCCTTGATAGCCATGTCAAAAAGAGGCCGGTAGTTGATTTATGACCCCAAAACATGGCCCTTGCCTCACAGAAGGATGATACAATTACCCCAATATGAGTCTTGTTACTTTCAGCCAAGTGTCATGCTTGAGACGGAGGCTCTGTGGAATCTGTTGTCTGACTGGGCTATTTAAACCAGCGTTTATTACTCCTCCCCTTATAAATCAGTGTAGACAGTCCTGCTGAGGCCGGAGAGAGCTTGACTCGGTCCCACCGAGCACTTTGATATGGCTTCAGTTGTTGGTTTGTTTGCGTGACCCATCCATCTTTGCTGCGACACACGGACCAATCAAGCTGCAACTAGGTGGCAAAGAAAGTAAAAATAAAACAAACAAAAGATTTACATTCAATGCTAACAAGGCTGTTGAGATCCTAATCCTCATCCCCAGTGCTTGCAGCATGTGGTTGAGTTTCTGCCGTCCTTCTAGGATTTCTCGGGGTCCTTTTAATGGTGCTGAACGAGTGCTGTGGATCTGAAGCTGAGCTTATGCCACGAGACTCAATTAGAACATTATAGACTCCACTGATGTGTTCCTGAGAAGTAAATATTGCACTAAAACGTTCTAATAAAAATATTGCAGTTTTACTATACACTCAGAGAAAAAAAGCTACAAAAATGTTACTGGGGAACTTAAAGTAATGGTATGTACCATTTAGGGGGAAATTAGATAAAAAGATATACGTTTTAGCTTTTGCACCTTAGGATACTGCCCCAGTGACAGCTTTGTACCTTTTTACTGAGAGTGTAGAAACATAAACTGTACTAACTATTTGGCAGAAATGTTGTAGATTCATGCCAGATAAAATTATAATCTCTAAATTCTTCAAGTCTAAATTCTTATTGAATTAGTCATGTTTCAGTATGTTGTAATATGCACACCTTTAAAGGTAATCCATATTAATGTGTCAAATTGTTATATTGCTTAGAAATCAAAAATAACCTAGGGCTCTGTAGACTATATGTAAAATATAAACTATATTAATTTAATGAATTGGCACACATATATTCTTTTTTCCCAACATTTTTGATAATGTTGAAAAGCCAAAATATGATGATTCCCTTTCTGAAATGTAAAAGTAGTAGTATATATTTTATGTATAAAAAACCCTTTATATTGTTTGAGGAAAAAGTGGGAAGTTATACAAAATAAAAATGGTTACTGAAGCCAAAGTAAATCATTAAATTATTGAAAAATATTGACTTTGTATGTAAGCTCTTTTAACAATAAATATAATTCCAAAGCAGTTGTAAAATTTCTTTGCATATTTTCTTGTGGCCCCAGGGGTCCCCTGACCCCAGTTTGAAATCCCTCGAGTTACAATTGGCACATTTTTTATTGTAGTGCTTATCATGTAGATGTTTTAAGTCATTAATGTGGGAATTAAGTGGAAAAA